GGGAAAGAGGAGTTCAAATTTACTTTCCATTAATCACTTCAATGCATTTGCTTTCCATCAACCTTGCTTTTTACAATACTAATTTAGGATTATTGTAGAAAACAAGCCTAAGCAAACACAGGATTTTTTTTAATCTTCTTGACTTTTGACAAGTATGTTCTATTTTACAAGTACCTCCAGGTTTTTTATTATATTCAAAAGCCATGAGCAAAATAATGTTGTTTTATTCTCTGGGAGATTGTTCCTGAATCTCAAATGGGAGCAATTTACAGGTGATTGTTCGTGAATCTCAAATGGGAGCAATTTACAGGTATTTTCAAACTTTCCTTGTATTGTAGTCTCCATACTCCCTGACAGATCTTTTGTATTACTCTACAAACCCCAGTAATTTCTGACGCTAACTTTGTACAATTCTTTGATGCTGCATTGCTGATAAAGTCCTGTAAGTGGCACTGTTTTGAACAGTTCAGATAGAAAGACAGGAACTTACATCTTAAACTATACACCAAGCTCAGGTATTTCTGCACTGTATTGAATTTTGAAATTTAATGTATAACTGACAAAATGGTAATTGTAAGCTGATACTTAAAGTGTAGGATGTGTCATGTAACACTGAGCTAGGAAAACAGGTTGCAGACTGGTGATACAAATGGAGTAGATCACTACAGCATAGCTAGCATTAGACCACACAAAGAGGAAGTAGGATTGTGGGTCCATTTTTACACTGGTTGCCAGGTTTGGTGGTTGCATAACACAAAAGTTGTAGCCTTTAATTCCACCAGAGTAAAGTGATGTTTTCAGCCATCATTTGAAGACAATTCTATTATTGTAAAGATCCTTTATATTAGTATAACTGTTTGTCTGTGTTGGGCAACTGCTGTAAGGACATCAGGTTGCTACAGTTATTGGGTGTTCAACAGTATAGACTTCTAAACAATCTGCACTTGGTAATTGATGCATGCTCCTCTGAGGCCTCTGCGCATCACTCCATGCCCATTTTGACAGCACCTATCTTTAGCATTAGTTTCTTTAGGAACATTCAGGCTTACCACTTGTATTATTTTGAAATTAAGATGGAGTAGGAAAACCATTGTCGGAATTATCCTGCAGGAAATAGATAGACTATTTTAAACTAAATTATTGTAATTATATCTTGTAAGATACATAATATAATTTTGCAGTATCAGGCCTGTTTTAGTGAAGTACCATTCAGAGCAAAGGTAATGGAGATGAATTCCTGAGCAGGGATTGCCAGAGAGCCTGAAGTGTATTTATCTCTATTCCAGGTTTGACAGATACAATTATTTAGATTTTTTACTCCTCTAAGAGGTCAGAACATACACACATACGATGGAAGGCATGCTGCCTTAATTAAGGATGCCAAAGGAAGTTTAATTTCTGAATTTATTTAATAAATCCTATAACTTAAGCAAAAATTCTTATGTTTCCCTCTAAAATGCCTTATAGAATTGATTAATAAAGACCTGTACAAAAAAATACCCAGAAAACATTGCACTGAAAACCAAATTAACATCGAATGTTTTTGTTCATCAGCAGGTGGCAGTAACAAGCCACGTTTTTTCCAAACGAGATTTACTGACAAGTTAAAGCCTCAAGGTTTTTGTGTTTTTGCAGGGATTTCAGTACTAGTGTTAATAACATTCAGATTAACAAAACCAAACCTCAGTGGCATAACTACTTCCTGTGTGGACTGAAGGGTATTCAGGTAAGCCAAATACCTTTAACTTACAAAATTAAAGTAGAAGTAAAATACAACAAGCGTATCTATTCACCCTCAAAATACTTTCCTGCATTCTATAACTTTTTTTGATGTACAGTTAAGTATTTTTGTGTTAAAATTTGAAAAGGATGTATGAGTGGGTTTGTTTTAAAATACTGGCAGAGCACTATTTTAATTTTTATTACATGAATTACAATAGCAAATAATTACTTATTTAGTAAAGTCATGATCAAACTCATTATCAAGATGACATTTCAGTACTTTGGAGTTAAAAATAATGCTTTCCAATGGAATAATCTAATTAAAATCTGCTTTTAAAAAGGTTTGGAGGCTTGTCTGTCAGGACACAAATATCATATTTTAGTCCTTGTCTTCCTGTGGAAACATTTGAAAAAACATTAATTTCTGTTAATACTGGAAACCTTTAACTTCTGCACAACAACTGAGTGAAGCTGACTCACACAGTAGGCAAAAGAAAATGTAAAAAGTCAGTAAACAGCATATAAAATAAATATTCCAGTAAGAACCATTACTTATCCAGGTTTTCAGTGTGTGGAATTTGAGTGGGATTTTCAAAATTTCATGAGGTAAGAGTGCAGCTATGCAGGAAACAGCGCACTTACGGTAAAGGCAGGAACACTGAACAGACATTTTCCTGTCTGCTCATTTGAGTTTTATCTTCTCAGTTGTGAGCTAGCCTGTCTCCAGACAGACTTGAAGGCTGTGCTGCTCGTGAAACCAAGTGCTGACCGTCAGTGTTGTCCTGGGAGGCAGCCTGAACTCACAACTGAGACTTCCTATAAATCTCACCTGCTCTTTGCAGGTGATTCATGGCCCTTTGAGGAAAAAACATGGTAACTTCTCAGCTCAATGTCAATCCAGTGAGGTTTCTGGAAGGGCAGATTGGAAAAACAGTGATGGCTAGGTCAGGAACAGGTCGCCACAGCCAGTATGGGTAACTGTGCTTTTTAAAGGACGTGAAGCTTGCCTCAGGACAGGCTATCTAGGTCACCCCACAGGACAATCCAATAGATAAGGACTGCAGACAGCCAACAAAGCCTACCACAAACCTGACACCAGAGTCTTCAAAATACAATATTTGGAACAATCAGTGCCACAAATCACTTTATTGCACTCCACAGTTCCTAAACAGATCCCCGCTCCTGTGTTTAGACCTCAATAAATTACTTATGTTTGCAGTAACATGAGTATTTTCAGTTTTGTGTTGCTCAGTAATACGGGCATTTAAACTGCATTGACTGTAGAGATATAGATTAGGTTTCTTTATAATGTATCCTTTCTTATATTAAGGCTAGCACGACCAATTGACTTTATTTATTTTTCAGTCTGCTACTGAGATTTGTTTCCTAAGGACAAGCTTTCATACTTGAAGGTTAATTTGCAAAGCAGGTTTGCAGACTCTAGCACTGGCAGAAAATAAGCATAAATGTTACAGACTTAAGAAACACTGAAATATAAGTACTCAGAGGGCCCAGCAGGATAATCTGTTTATATTAAGTTGAACATGCTATCCTTTTGGGACAGAACTATTGCAGAACTTGGCAAAGTCCATTTTAATTTTTGAAACTGAAGTACGTTTTCTATTTAAACATCGCGTGATAAGTTTGCAAGCCTGATTCACATTCAAGACAATCCAGAAATTGTGGATCAGTTTCTGGTTACTCAAGCATTTTCTGTTTTTGAACAAGCCTGTCTAATGTTCTTCATGAAGGGGCATGGACAGCAATAGTATTTTAGGTATGAATTCCCTTATATTTGTAGAAAGGGAAATTTAAAATAATTTGAAGTGATGGTAGAAGACATTAAAGGAGGCTCTTTGTGTTTGCTGATTGGTATTTATGGTTGAAGTTGTTTCAGGAAAAGCAGTAAAAATCTTTTGAAGGTAGGCATTTCTTTATGGAAACACTGCCATTTTTTCTGATTATTGACATTGTAACATGGTTTATTGACATATAAATCTTTATCAGAATGTAGCTATTCATATACCCCCCATGTACACAAATGATTTTTTAATAAGTAGTGCATGTTCGTTTCAAACTAACGAGAGAGACATTTATATTAAAGTGATTATAAATAAAAATACAAAACAATTAAAGAATAATCAAAAGAGTATGTACACGAGGATTTATGACTTCTGGATTAAATGTATTATCTGTGATATCTATCATGTATATAAAAATTCTAAAATTTAATCTAAAAATAGCATGACAGAGACCATCACCGCTGGTAGGTGTGTCTTTGTGCCTCCTAAAGCATGGTGTCCTTCAAGTACCGTTGTGTCAGTCCTGTGGGTGCTTCAGGAAATAGGAGTATCTCGCTTTGAATACAGCTGCCTGGCTACTAGTTCCCCATCAGTGTGACGTGGCTCCCTAGTACCATGTGCCAGCATTAGAAGTGAAGCATAAAGTGGACCTTAAGCTCTTCAGGATGTCTTAAGTGAGAAGCTGTGGAAGAAAGGACAAAAGTAGGGTATAAAATGATTAGTAACTTCTGGTACTGTCACCACAGCAGCTCAGAGCAGAGCCAGTTGCTGCAAAACCCACCCACAAAGCTTGGTGAATTCTTGGGCATTTAGCCCATATGGAATTCTGCTTGGGGTGCCATTCTGTCAGCTCATATATGTTTGTGTACAGGAATTGCAGACATACCTTTGGCTGAAGCCCTACCATCTTTGGCTTTGTTCTTAAGGAAGAGAATGAAAATTTTCCTTTATTTTGGAGATACCAGAAGCAGGTCCTTGGTTCCAGCAACTCAGCAGAAAGATTCTCTTTCTAAGTATCAGATAATTGCAAGCCTGAGCCTGTCTGTACTTGAAACTGAGATTGTTTATTTTTTCATTGTTAGGAACATTTTGGTCTTAATAACCCAACTGGAATGAATTGTCTGCTAGATGGAACCATCCCTCCTAGTTCTGGTCTCTCTAGCTCCAGTGCTTTGGTGTGCTGCGCAGGACTCGTGACACTAAGAGCTAATGGAAAAACCCTCTCTAAGGTAATTTACTGTAAAACACGAGAGTGTCAGCAGTAAAATTCTACTTAAAATTAAATATTGTTAATGCCTGTAAACATTAAAAACACGATACAATTGTTTTTGCAAAGAGTTGTTGGATATAAACTTAAGATATTGCACAATTGAGCAAACATCTTTGGCCAAATTTTGGCAGGATCTGAATCTGGCAAGAAAACAGGCTTACATTAAAGCTGAAAAAAGGAGCATTATTGTAATCCTGTATTTTGGCCAACCATCAGGTCCATGCCTGGACCAGATGTGCTATCTGCAGGCCAGGACTGAGGATATATGTGCTGAAGCATGTGGACCACACCCCCGAGGCCTTTACCCTCTCCCTGAATGACTTTTCATGGCTTTAACAGCAGAGCATCTGTTGGAGGCCTGTGGAACAATTTCTTGATAAATTATATAATCAGCACAAAGCAGAGGTAAAATTCTTCCATCTGACTCTCCTTATTCTCTTCACAGTTTTTTTGGAATGAAAGTATTTGCAATCCAAAATGTATTCCTCACTTTTTTAAACAAACATTAGTCTAAAAACAAACCCCAAGTATGTGAGCTGTTAGCAGTACAACTGTTAGTAGAATTTGGCTTGTGTAATACAGATTTCTGAAGGAGTCATGGTCCTTGAAGGTGCCATATGGGAATGTAGTTCTCTCCACTAAAAATGTCTGGTTAAGTGAAACTAGTATCTTAAATTAGAACATTGTCAGGAAGAGAAAAGAACAGATCTAAGTGTGACTGCATTTTTGTGCCTATTGTCTAAGGCAGACATTCCCAAATTGTGGTACAAAGTCAACTTAAAATGGTACATGATGATGGCAGCTGTTAACTGTGCTTGTACACAAGCACTTATCTGAGCCATGCGGTAAACAGATCCACACAGAAGGTTTTTGCTGATCAGTTGTGACTTGCTTTTCTACGTAGCTGCAGCTGCACCAATCTGCTAGCAGTAAGTGCCCCATCCCACATTGCACAGCCCACACTGCTTGCTTCAGGAGGGTGTGAAGCAGGGAAGCAAGAAGCTGGGTTGGGGAGGCAGGCTGGCTTTTTATGTAGGAGGGTGTGGCTACAGTCACTGTCACCCTGCTTTGTGTTTGTGCAATGCATGGTCAAAAGGTAAGTAAGGGATTGGGCACTTACCGAGGCTCTAGTTTGTGAGATGAGAGATGAAGTGCAATGGTACATGAAAACATGGAACTGAGGACCCCACTTTGACAAATGAGACTGCAGAAAGAGGGTTGGAGGTGACGGACATGCTTTTTTATACATGCATATCTGTCCTGGCAAGAAGCTTCAAGTTTTGCATAGATGGTCTTACTACAGCTCAGCACCATCTCTGATGGTGGTAACCAAATGCTTGGTAAGCTTGGGAACTACTGATCAAAATCACTGGAGTGCAAAAGTTCAGAAATTGTGTGTCTGCAAAATCCATAAAACTGACAGAAGTCAGAAAGCCCAAATTTTACTAGGTAGTAGAAATCTGTTTCTGGAAAACCAGAAGCCAGGTTTTCATTATTCCAAGAAATACTGCACAGCTTTCTTCAGAAAATAAATGATACAGCATGTATGTTGAGCTGAATTTACACATGGCTTAGGAGTACGGGCCAGCATTATACTAGACCTGTTCTAAAGAAAGGTGCAAAAGTCCTTTCGGTATTTTCATAAAAACTTGTGGAGGAACAGAAGAAAGGCAGAGACTCCACTGAATGTCTTTCCTTCTCCTCATGTGTCTTGTTCAGTCAACCCCAAAACTCTTCTGCTTGCTGGTTGGAGAATGTGCTGAAAGTTAATCTTGTGTCTCAAATGTAGTTGGACAAACACAGGAGACACAATTGCACATTTCTGTCAGGAAATCCTGCTTTCTGCAGCCAAATATTTTAACTTGTGATGAAAAATGTGCAATTAATGTACAGATGAGAATTCCCAATAGCCAACATAGGAGCAGTTAAGAACATGTCCAAGGTTTTGTGTGCTTGCATAGACCAAGACACCTGGTTGTGGTGTTAAGGCAGAGGATGACAGCTCTGAAGACGGATTACTTTTGTCCAGGCTATAAGTTTCCCCAAATCTTATAGGATGGTAAAAAGAAATTCAGTGTTCTTGGCTAATTTATGATTTAGCATTAGAAACCCCCTATATCTAGCTAAATCCAGATTCTCTGTTGCACTGAATTTATGCTTAGCCTTGCAGAACCGTCTTGCATAAGGCAGAGCTAGTCTCAGTATAAATTAGAGCAATCCAGGCATGTGAGCCCTCAGAAGTATAAAACGTGCTCTGGCCACTTCTTTCCAGCTCCTAATGCATCCTGTGCTGGTGTCAAATGCTATCTGTGCAGGATCCAGTAATGCTGGCTGTGTATCAGCTCAGAGCTCCCCCATGGCAGGGGAATTCTTAGCTGACCAGAAATAGGGGCTTTCCAGAGCCTTTCTATTAGAAAGCAAACCAGGACCTTGCATTTTTAGGGCTCTGGATATTTATGTATTTGTTTATTTTTAAGGAATATCTCTTTACCTCTCCCCTCTTTTTTTTTTTTTTTTTTTTTTTTTTTTTTTTTTTTTTCAAATATTAAGAGTTGCGAAAGTTGTAAATGGTAGTATTTATAAGGAACAATATTTGGTCATGGTGGCAATTTTATGAGAAAAGATTGACTTTTTGCTCCTCATTAGTCTGATGGACTTTGCTAAATGTTAATACGATGGTCTGTAGCAGCAGGACATAGAAACTTTTGGCTTTGGAATAAAATTTGGCTGAATTGTAGGGCTTCTGTAGCCAAAGTTATGGAAAATTGACCTTTTACTGAATGGAACGCTTATCTGTTTTGTTTCTGTGAAACTATTTTTATGAGAATATTTGAGTTATATGCTCTTTTTCCTGATAAATGTAAGTTTAAAATAGTAGCTGTAGAGTAAAAGTTGCTGACATTTAGAGCTTTTATGAGATAACACTTCCAGTGTGAAGTTTGAGCCTATGAGATTAAGAGCCAAAAAAAACCAAAACGAAAAATATTGTAAAAGCATGGCTAGAATTTCATGGTGGCTTACTTTAAAAATAGCGCTTTTTTGACATTGAAAACAAAATCAGGAAAAAAATGCTCTCACTAATTATTATGTGTAGCAGTCTGCAATAGGGCATTGTTTCAGTTTGCATACAATATTTTTTTTATAAACCCATCACACACATACACAATAGTTTAGGGAAAATACCAGTCCAAGACAATTCAGCCAGATGTGCAGTGCTAACCAGTTGCAGCAGTGCAATAGCATTCAAATAACAAGATGGAAAATTTAGAGTGCGATCTTTAAAAAGAATCCATTTTTCTCCTCCAAACAGGATACCAGTCTAAGACTGTGTTGGCATCACTCAAAGAATAGCAATACTCAGTATTAGCTTTTGATTTTAAAATGATTTTTATTTTACTGTTACAAAATCAATCTTTTGTACAACTTTTCATCAGGAGAAGATACTTTTTGTAAAGGAAATAGAATAATGCTCTAAATTGTCCCAGCTTTGTGCTTCATGGTAGGAATTAATGAGTACAGCAAATAACTTAGTACTTTTGAACAACTAGATTTTCTTGAAAGATGTGATGATAGTGTTGCTGTCCAAATATTAAATCTTGTGGTATTCAGTTCTGTTCAGCCATGGTAACATTTTTTCTGTTCCTCAAGGCTGGGCAGCTGTGCACACACTTACTGGGAAAAATAGATCAAAAGTGAATAGGGTTTATTTAATTTAATGTGAAATGTTGAACATAGTAAGTTGAATTCTATTTGGCTCTATCTAGACTGAGAAAAATCTAAGTCGGAATGATAAATGAAGGACCTAAATCTAATCTGTAATGCTGCAGTGTCCATTGGCTTCCATTTTCTCAAACTATGCCTCAGATGAATTTGAGTGTGGGGTTTTCAAAACATTCAACATTGTCCTGTATTTAAACAGTTACAATACTTCGTAATGTCATCGATTTCAGTGGGAGAATAGATAGGCCAACTGGAATCCTATCTGCTTTTTTTCTGAAGACTGTATATAATAAGGAAAGGGCTTTAATTGAATACTTTAACACTTCCTAATAATTTTTATGATGTGCAATAGGTCTTTAATATGTATCTATCTGGCAAGAAAATCTGTGAGTATTCATATTGATAGTGCAACTTTGAAATTAGTGACGTGTGCTGACAATACCAGTTATGATTATTTTATAGTATTGCTGCATAAAAAATGTTTGGTAGATGCATGCTCAGGTTATTTACATGAGAAACTCAAATTGCTTATACAAAAAGAGATACATAGATACTGCATTTTAAAATACTGTTAATATTGAGAAATGTTAAAGTTCCTTTCTCCTGGTGGAATTAAAAACCAGGGTTCTTTAACTTGTTAAGTTTGACTATGTGTGTTTGTAATCAAGGGGAAACAGAGTACTTTAGAGCAGTGGTAATCAAAGACCATAATCTCTCATCAACCAAATTGATAACCTTCTATTTGAGCATGTTAGAGGGCAGACAAAGTCAAGCTAAGATTGCTCATGAGGACATCCAGATACTATCTGACAAATATTTTCCCATTTTGGAAAAAAGTAAGCATAATTACCTTGCAAAACATATATGAAGTTTAGCTAATTGGGATTTTGTGTGCAAACTGGAAGCAGATGGTAACTTTCAGCGATCTATTCCTAGTCAAGACCAGATATTAAAAATTAAGGACATTCCTGGTGGTAAAAATAACCTCAAAATTTGGTGATCATTTTATACCTTAATAAATGAAACACAGTGCCTGATATTTCAGAAGTTATTTTCGCATATATATACATATGTATAAAACATGCACAGATTGAAAAAAAAATCACCATCTAACTAGATTTTAAATATGCCTTAAGTGATGGAGAATGTTTTCTTTTTACTGTAAAATACTCATCTTTCTCTGTAAATGTTTCTTCTCCCTTTTCAGTCCTGTGTGCTGTGAACCAAACACTATAGAAT